CAGATGCAGTCACAGATGCCAGGGGCGCCAATGTGAATCTGCCAGCATCCAAGGCCACATGACCACAAATGTGCAGAATCTCCTCTGCAATCGGTAGCTAAGGATGTTAGGCCATGACAGGTCTAGGATGGGAGATGAACTGAGAATAGATTCTGTAGGCTTTTGTTGCCTCTTCCCAGCCCCAAGCATTTCACTCTCTGCTCTTGCCACAGGCAGCAGGGAGGCTTCCTGTGAACATCATCCCCACAGCCTACAGTTGCGTCACTCTCAGCCTCTTACATCCTCCTATGGCAGTGTCAGTCAGGACACCCAACCCTGAAAACTCAAGGGTCCACACATGGCCAACATCACGTCGGGGTGAACAGGCCCCCTCCTCTGATCTGCAGACAAATGTGCCCTACTTTCTGGCCCTCTGCCAGCAACTGGAGGCTCTGGAAATTTCCAGACACACAACAGTCTTTTGAACTGCAGGCTGCTGCCCCATCCTATGGCAGAGTAGACCTTTTCTCCACTAGACTTGGCCTGTTACCCAGTTGAATGAAATGTCTTTTTAACACAGAAACTAGTGTTCTTTGGCCCTGACCCCATCACATGGTTTGTAGGTACACAACAGTCCAGAGTAAATACCACCGAATTGAGGCCTCAGGCCCTAGAGTTTGCACATCGGATCTGCTTTCAGAAAACATCAAGGTACTGTTGGAAAGTCTACAGACTTTATGCAGAAAAACAGAAATGAATATAAAACAAGTGATGAACACACACACACACCACACACACACACACACACCCCATAGTGACTAACAGGATCTCCCTCCAGGGGATTTGCAGAGAGGGGAGCAGAAAACATCCCAGGGGTCTTTCACAGCTACTGCCTTGAGCCCCATTTCAGACAGTGCTCTCTAGACCTGTCTAAGCCCAAGCACCACCACCGTGATATACAGGAGCTAGATTTCTTACCTGAAATTCAACATCAAGAAACAATCTCTTCTACTTAAAACTGATAGGAATATCCTCAATCAACGTCCTCATTGGCAGGGGTGAAGCTGGGGAGTTTCTTAAAAACTGAGGCCTCTGCCTACCACCAAGAGAACCTGGAATTTTCCATCTGTGCCACAAAGTTCAAATCACTGGTCACTGCCCCAGTGTATCGCAGTGTATGGCAGATTAGACCATCTCTCCATCTCATGCCATTAAAAGGACACAACCGGTCTTTATGTACCTCCCAATAAGAAAACACCACCACCTGGGAAGTTTTGCTGAAAAATAAAAATCAAATTTAAATCCTATGTAACTGCTACGTGTTTGATCCATCAGGTAAATATAACCATGTGGCTATTTAAATTCATCTTAATTAAGATTAAATAAAATTTAAAAATTAGTTTTCCCATCTCACTAGACACATTTAAAGTGCCCAGTAGCCACAAGCAGCCACAACCCACACCTCAGATATACATTCCAGTCATCACAGTATTTCTATCAGTAATGCTCCGTACCCATTCACAGAAAATACAGGAGGGCCTGAGACACTGCAGAGGGATGCAAAGCAATCCTCAAAATCCATACCATGAGAAACTCTATAGACGAACAACTTGGCTTCTTAAATAAAATGTAATAAAAAAAAAAATTGGAAGGAAGATTGTCTACTAATAATTTTAAAAGACAGATGGAAAATGCATAATGACAATCAGGTAAAAGTAAACTACGATGCTTATGGAAGCATGGAAGAGGAAACCAGGAGAAAAGAAAAGAGTCGCAACAAGAGGCTGGACCACACCTCCTTCCACAGGGAGGAAGAGGGCCCTGGCTGGTGTCCCAATCAAGCAGCAAAGCTTGATTTCCCAGCCTGAGTGCTGAGTAAAGGGGTATACACCTTCTGGCAACCCATTAAGTTAAACAATTGTTTTTATGTGGTTTTCTATATCTGTATTAAATTTCACCATTAAAAAACAGTTACATGAAATCTCACAAAGAGCATTAAGTGTTACCTGGAAAATTACAATATGCAGAATGAGAGCAATTGGGCCTCTGTGAGAAGTGACACCTAAGCCAAACTGAATTGACAAAAAAGAGGACAGCCTTTGGAAGATCAGAACATTCCAGAAGAGAATATAGAGAAAACGGGTGATGAAATGGCTCACTCCTGTAATCCCAGCACTCTTGAGAGGGCAAGGCAGGAAGATCACTCTAGCCTAGTGTTTGAGACTAACTCAACATGGTGAAACATTGTCTCTACAAAAAAATGCAAACAGCAGCCAGGCTTGGTGGCTCGTGCCTATAGTCCCAGCTACTCTGATGGCTGAGGTGGGAAGATCCCTTGAGCCCAGGAGGTCGAGGCTGCATTGGGCCATACACTCGTGCCACTGCACTCCAGCCTGGAATGTAGAGAAAGACCACGTCTCAAAAAGGAGAGAGAAAGAGAAAAGGCCTAGGAGGAGGGTAAGCTGTGTGGCGTTTGAGTACTGAATTAATTCTAGTGTGGCTACAAAGCGGTGAGCTGCAGGAAGAACATTTACAGGTATCACAGATTTCTGGATGCTTACAAATAGCAGAAACTATAAATGTTAACTCAGGGATGCTACATATATCTTAGTGATAAGACACAAAATACATCAGATGTATAAAAATTTATGTGTGATGCTTCAAAATAAACATTGGCACTACTGTTCATACTGGAAGCTGAACCTGTCCTCTGTGGGCTGTGCAATGAACTAAACTCAGAATGTGTTATTGCTTAGAATGCATGAACTGTCCACCGCAGTATCTGGGAGGATGACCTGTCATCCTATAAAAATAAGAAACCAACAACAGGTACGGAATATTGACATCAGATAATCTTATTCTAGAACAACTCTCTAATAAATCAAATGTATTTCCCAGCCTTACGTCCTCTAAATCCCAGTCATGGGGCACCTCCACAAGAAATCTGAAGCAGTCCAAAGAGTCGGCCTTGTGCTTCCACGCTGTCAGGCTGGCTGACACAAAACCACCCTCCAAGCTCTTCTCAGGTATCATCTTCTTCATTATCTTCTGTCACTAAAGAAAACACCATGGCAGAAAAGTGAGAACAAAACCTGCAGCCCTGGAGGACTCATTGTTTTCAACCAGTTAGGCCACGATTCTTCCAACTCAGGAACCAAGGGCCTCTGTCTGTGGTGGATACAGCAATGGCCAAATATGAGTCAGGCACTGAGAGGGCAGGTCAGCCACAGGTAAAGAGAGGCCAGGAAGCTATTGCTCTACATGTGTGGGGGCTCCTGCACTCCTGCATGGCAGCAGCTAAGCAGTTGAGCAGGACTTAGAATATTAGGGGTCAAGGAGGGAAGGGACATTTAAAAGCAGAGCTTTCAATTATTAAAGAAGAGCTCTAAAGAGTGTTGAGCCTCTCATCACTGAGAGTACCTAGACAAAAGCTGAACGAAAATCAGTACACAACAACCCTCCCAATTCAGTGTGCCGAGCCCAAGTGTCTCACCATGTGGCCTTGATCTCATCGTGCAGTAACCAGGGAACACAATGTAAAGTTCACCACTCTATGTTTATTTTGACATTAATTCTACCACAAAGAACATATAGGTATGTTTAACAAAGCATAAAATCAGAGGACAAGGGCACAAGGGAGAACAAAATGTGTTATATGGGGTTCTCATTCTCAGAAAGGAACAAATAAATACTTTTATGGGCAGAAATATTTTTCTGGCACTAAATTCTACAAAAAAGTTTCTCATGAATGACTTTTTAAAAGGGGACATGACATGATGCAATGGACACGACTTGCATCGAGTTTTATAGCAAACCCAGGAGTGTACTTCACAAGACCAATGTGTGGTCCTCGTAAGCTGATGATTAAAGACATCTGCCAAACAGGAAATGTGACGGCCAGCAATGATGGATGTCAACAATACCAGCCCAATACTCCAACCAATTCCCTATCTCCTTTTTAGAAAATAATCAGAGAAACTGAAATGTTTCCAGCTCTGAACCAGAATTCTTTACCTGTCCCATAAATAAGCTTTTGGCGGTTTGGAGCTGCTTGTTGCTGCCTCAGAAAGGCCTCAGCGCCTTTCTGGAAAGGTCTTCCTTCCACTTGAGGGCACCCGAAATGAGGAATGTCAACCTCCAGTTAGACTTGTTTACGTGTCTCCCCTCCCCCAAGATCCATCCACAATGCAGCATTTCGAGTCAACAAAATCTCAAAATCAACAGACTCCCAAATGTAGACATTACTTTGGGTACCATTTCAAGAGTCAAGTTCATAGCAGCAACCAACTAAATTTAAGCTTACCTGAGGCTTCTGTGGAATCATTCTTCTCTTCCTTGCAATCTTCTTCTTCTTTGAGTAAATCTTCTATATCACTGGTCTCATCAATTAAGTTTCTTCACCCCAGGTTCTGACCACTGCCTACTTGAGAAGGCTCTGAAACCTTTTTCCTAAAAGTGTCCTCATTTTCCAGGTCCTCTTCCTCTGCACTGAGTGAAGAGCTTTCTTCAGATTCATCTTCAGATGCAAATGCCTCGTCAGCTGTGCAATGCCCAGAGATAAAGAGGTGAGGGCTGCTTTCTTCATCAACAAAGACTTCTCCAGATTTACAGGATCACTCTGGAGATTAGCTGGTGACAGCTCTGCTTTACTACCTTCTCCAACAGTCTTTGATCCTGAAATGCCCCTCTCTCCTGCAGTGCAGTCCTCTTCCTCACTGCTTTCCTCAGCTTATTCCACTTCCCCTTCTGCTGAGCTCCCCTCAAGCTCATCATCACAGTCAGCAAATGCTGGCAAATCTACTTCACTGTCTTCTTCCAACTCCTCAAGCTTCCCTCGTTTGATGCCCTTAGCAGTCATATACTGATCAGTCACCTCAGCGTTTTCCTCCTCTTCTGCTTCCTCATCACTAGAGACGGGTTCCAATCTATCATCTTCAGAAATTTCATCTTCTTCATCATCACTATCTCCAGGTCCATCTTCATCTGCAAAAATGACTTTCTATCGCATTCGATCAGTTACAAGCCCATTTGTTTTTCTTCCTTTGGCATCAACAGCCTACATTATTACCAAGGAAATGCAAACGAATTCAATTTGCAGGTTCATCAGCAAATCTAGAAATGACAATATAGTCAATGAAAATACAAAGAAATAGAAAATGTCAAAGAATTGTTTAGGATGACATAGCAGAGGTAAAAATGACCTGATAAACATTGGAAGAGTTAACACACAAACTCAGGCATGGTTCCCTAATACCACACTTCAAAAAATATAGAGAGAGAATAAATGAATAACCCTTTAAAAAGATTAATCTAATTTTAGAAGAAAACTGCTCAAAACGGAAGTTAGTGTTTTGTAGATCTTTTGGAAACCTCATCAATTTCTAAGCTAAAAGCACATGATCCTTAAGAGAAATGGCTAATTCTAGGCCCAAAGTAGAAAGAAGATAAAATGAGCCTGGATCCTCTCGTTCTGTCAGAAAGTAAGACATGCTCAAAGACTAACAGAGACAGTTGAAAGGTCATAGGAGACAGGCTGAAGGCTCCCGCAGCCAAATCTGGGACAGCACAGGCATCAGAAAGAATAATGATAGTGATAGAAAATAACTCATGGAATAAAACGCAAGTGCATTAGTCACCAGTGATACCGAAATAAAGGGGAGAAGTGAAAGTTCTTTGTTAAAAATTCCAGCTAACAAACGTAGGAGGACTGACAGAGGAAGAACATCCATTTCAAGTCACCAGTGCCATAACTGATAACGCAGAATCATCAGGAGGCTAAAAAATCACAGGATGAAACACAACTGCATCAAGCTGTTTAACATAGCACAATATACAAAATTATAAAAACATAAATTAGGAACAACTAAAAATCGTACCATAAGAGATGGGTAAGTTAGAATACAGCAATAATAGGCGAGGCTAATCCAAGGATTTTGGGAGGCCAATGCGGGAGGATTCCTTGGGCCCAGTTCTAGACCAGCCTGGGCCACATAGTGATACCTCATCTCTAGAAAATAGTTAAAAAAATTTAGCCAGGAGTGGTTGAAAGGACACAGGAGACAGGCTGAAAGCTCCCGCACTTCTGCAGTCCCAGCTATTTGGGGGGCTGAAGTGAGAGGATCACTTGAGCCTGGGAGTTTAATGTTGTGTTGAGCCAAGATCATGCCACTGCACTCCAGCCTGGGAGACAAAGTGAGACCTTGTCTCAAAAACAAACAAAAAGAATACACCAATAATAACAAAATAATGATGACATACAGACTGTATAGAAAAAGAAAATGTTCAGAATATAGAAATAAAATTATGTATTTAAACTGTAACTATATTAGAAGGAAGTATTCTTGTAGACAAGGATGACTACAAGGATATGCAAAAATGAAAACAGCTCATAACACTCATTATAAAAGAGTGATCTTTCAGCGAACACTTCATATCTGTCAGGCACTGTGCTAGGTAGTTTATGCATAGTGTAACAAATTACATACTAGATAATCTCAAAATTTTCAGATACATTTTACTGGGAGTCATAAATCAATACAACAAAACCAATGTTTTACAAACATCCACTATGTATAAAGGCATACAAATTTCCAAACCAGACTGAAAAAGAATTCACATAAGCCACACATCAGTGGAAACCTACCCACAGGAGATAGTACAACATGATCTAAATAAAATTTTCAGAGCCAAGGCATGTGGCTTCTGGACAGCCACAAACTCTCTGGCTCTGCTCTAGTGTTTTGGCCACCAAAAGAAAGCCAAGTGTCCTCAAGTCCCTTAAAAAACAAAAAGGAACCTATGGAAAATGGCATAGTATTCGAGGAATATTTGAGGTCTGTCGAAAAATGTATCCTGTATTTTATTTCAAGTAAATACTTTCTTGTAATGTCAGGTAAGTGAAGAGCCCTCAGACACATGCACGAAGAAAGAAAAACAAATCAACCTAGAATGAATCCCACCGAAATGTGTTCTGACGGCAGAATGACACATCTTCTGTAATATACCTTTTTATTAAAAATAGAAAAAAAGCAGACTTACACTTGATTATCTATATCCTCTGACCCAAGTGGCTTAGAATCAGAAAACAGCATCACTCAACTTGAAGCCATCTTGGTATCAATGATGGAGTGGGTGGAGACGAGACTCTGGACCAGCTCATAAGTGGACCCCACCTCATCCTGTCAAGACCACCAAGAAAGGGTATGTGAGGAAAGCACAAAGATCCTGGAAAGACTCTGCTTTCACTCAGTTTCTCAAAATTATCTTAGACACATTTCCTGGGAAGCTTTCTCAATGTCTCAAAAAGCAGAGAAGAAAATCTTCACAACAAAGCTTGAAATGGATCCCCATCTCCATTAAACTTTTCCAATGTTCTGGCAGTATATAACCTGATACTCTAAACAGCTAGCTAGAAAAACCTCAGTTCCAATTGTACAACAATGCTAGCTTTTCTAACATTTTAAAGTAAACCTGATTTTAACCCAGTACAATTCAACTTCAGAATTGACAAATAAACATTTGAAACCGACTTTAAAATACAGAGGAGGAGACCACTGTGAATGAGAAAAAGGAAAAACCAACGAGAGCTGGAAAGCACACTGATTTTGTAAAAATGGCAATGGGCCGTGCAGGCACCACACCGGCAGCAGTTGCTCATGCTGGGGCCATGGATCAAGGAGGCATGGAGGACAGGACTCTTCTGCTTGGTACAATGAAAAAAAGGTATTCTTTTAATTCTATAGATTTACCATATGCATTTGGGCCTTTATTGTAAGTACAAGAGAAAAGTCTTCAATAAGTAAAAGCTGAGTACATTATTTTTGTGATTAAAAAATAGATTCAGAAAGAAGAATGAGAGTTCAGAGCAATGAATCCTGTCTCACTGATGCCCCAAAACTGTGGCTGCCACCAAGGTCAACATAGACAGTGTCTTTGTCATACAGCACACCCCCAATTCCAGAAAGAGGTGCATAAACCAGTTTCTCCTTCTCATTTAAACAGAACTTCTTCTGTTGTTCAGGAAGACACAAGGGTCTGGGAGGAAACTGACATCACTCACGGCGAAGTCTCTCCTACCCCTAGAAGACAGGCCCCTTTTAAAAAGCCAGCTTCCGCTGACAAGAAGTCAGTAAATATCTACTGTTGACTGTGGGGTAAAATTGTAGTCCAAGGGCTTAAAACATTTCACTAAAGGAGGGCACTGCACCAAACCAGAACAGTACCCCTCTAGCTACAGGAGAAGATGGATTTGATAACACAGTTGCAGGCCTACACATCGCTGGGTTACTTTTCAAACCTCCAGCAAGGCCATCTTCCCTTGTTTGGTCATATTTCAGTTTTCCTGAAAAATCAAGCCATCCCAAGAATCCTATGTGTAATTCTAACATGTTCTAATAACAAGACAATACCTGGCATGTGAATCTGCCTTTTATTTTTTAAGTGCGCTCTTCTTTACCATAAAGTGACACCTGCTGGTCACATTTGATATTTGTTTGTATATCCTCTCGGTTTGTCAAATCTTCCACCCTAGTAAAATAAATTCAGTCATACAGCAGAAATGAATGTCAAAAGTTCCTGTACCTCCTTTCATGTTTCAATGACTCACCATACTCTTGTCCGCTAAGGATGTCATTTAGAAAACTAGAAAATACAGAAATAAGGAAGCACCATTCACCATCCACCAGAGGAAAAGAGGCAGACATACCACTGTAGGCTAAAAGTGACATTCATTCTATCACACCAGACAGGGAGATGATATCCACCTGGGGTCAGGGAAGAGTGAAAAACATATTCAGAAAATCCCTTTCTGGAAGAGGGTAGGCCTGTACTATGGGATTTTTACTGTGATGTGGATTCTGGTAGATGGAAAAGGGTATTCCAGGATGAGAAAGCCACATGAGGAAGAGCACGAAGGAAGGAAACTGAAGGCACACACAAAGAACTCAAGCCATGGACACAAGGCAGCATCACTGAAAACTGACACTGAACACAGGAGGGAGCCACATTCTGTAGCCTTAAGTGCTTCCAAGTCCTCCCATTTTCCTAAATACTTCATGATTTACTCCCAAAGGCACAGCATCTTGGAGCAATAGACATTTTCCATCAACTACACTTCTACCCCCACTATTCAAATAGGCAAAACATAAATTCTATCACTGTTCTTTTTCTAGCCTTTTTAGCTTTGAAATATAAGACCCATGAAGAAAAAGTTTACAATCACTTTTTACCTGTCTGCCAGGATATAAGGGTGAGAAGTTTGCCATGTGAGAGGCCTAAACTTCATAACTGTAATAAAAATGGCCCAGATTGTCAGTTTCCTCATTTTGATATTCTCCATGCACCACTCCAGAAAAGTAGAACAGCTTGGCACTCTAGACATTAAGGGAAAACTAAAAATTATATTTCAATTAAATGCTTGTCAAATACTGCAGCAAAATAAAAGCTGTAAACAAGAAGCAATCCTAAGAAGGGAGACTTCCAGCAAAGTACTGAGACTTCCAGAGCCTCGCTGGCTTCTTTCAGGACTTAGAACCTCACAGAGGCAGACTGCTCTGCAGCCAAGCAGAGGTATCCATCTAAGAATGGTGAGGAGACGGAGGTGAGGCTTCTGAGCACAGAAATTGTTCTGGACCAGCTCAAACGACAGGTGGAATATCTTCACACCACATCTGATGACACAGAGTGCCAAGGGACAAGCAGCTGGTTGTAGGGTCAGGAAGAACGGGGAGCAAACAGTCCCTCAGCTGCCAATCTTCGTCATCTAAGCCAGTGTTACACCCCTAATCCACACACGCACCTACACACCTAAATCCACATATTTTGTGTGCCTCTGCATTCTCAGGAGGCTTTGACAACCCAGAGCAGGGCAATCCACACAAGCTAGACTAAATAAATTATGGTGCATCCATAGGATGGATTAAAAAGGAGGCAGAACTACAGTACTTACCGATTGTATACCTCCAAGATGTATTACATGAAAAAAGCAAAGCACAAAACTGTATAAAATAAGCTACCATCTGTGTTTCTAAAGGGTGGCAAGTGTGTTTCTATGCATCTAGAAGGATACTGCTCTGCAGGGATCTGAGAGACCAGCAGTTAGAGCAGGAAAAAAGAAGATGCGCATCATGTGTATCCTGCATTACAGTTAGAGTACTTTACCAAATATGTGTCTTCCTTTTGAAAATCTTAAAATGATTTACATAATAGGTATCTCTCTCAATGATGGCTAAGAGACTGAGAAGGGTAGCAGGGAGGGAGGGACAAAGAGGCACAGGTTAACAGGTACAAAAATACAGTTAAATAGAATAAATTCTTGTGTCCGAGAGCACAATAGGGTGACTATCATTTATTATATAATTCAGAATAACTAAAAGAATGAAATCAAAATGTTCCTTATGTACAACTATTATGTATCCATAATAATTAAAAATTTTAAAATGTAACAGCATCTCTTAAAATATACGTCTTCAAAATTAGAAACTTGCTATGTTTTAAATAAAAGAAACAAATGACTTTTATAAACTATTTAAATCATTTCAAGTAACAAGATTTAGTAAGCTTACATGACATTAATAACACTTATTTGTACTAATAGTAGCATTACATGTTCAAAATTTAAATGTTATTTAGCTTCCTAACATTACAATGGCACAACTTTAAAATCTGTATTACTTTTTACTTTATATTTTAGGAGTCTTCCTGGGCCAAATTTGTAGCTCTTTGTCACAAAATGGCTCTCCAGTAAAAACCAAATAAAAATGAAACTCCCAAGGCATTTGTCACCCCACACTTCCTAATCAATATGGCTTATTTTTTTCTAATTTATATTTTATTTTTGCTAATTTAAAAGATAGTTTATTATAGAGTATCAGAAACAGTGAACATTATCATTTCCATAATCAAAAGTGCATGTACATTTTACATACACTCAGTACTGTCTAGATTTTCTGTTGATAATCTCTGACCACTTCTGCAGGGCAATTCATGTACTTATATTCACATTAAGGATGAAGGTTCTGGAACCATTAGGAACAAGGGTCCCACCTTCACACAAGTTACTTAACTGTTGGGAGGCTCTATTTCATCTTATGTAAATTACACATAATACTGAACTCACCTCAAGGGTTCATGTAAGCTAAATTTTTAGAAAGCAGTGAGCACAGCGCCAGGAAGGGTCTAAGAAGAAGTGATACTTACTATGATACATTTTGTACATATATACATATGCATGTTAATGACTTCTTATTAGCTGTGTTCATTAAAGGTTTTCTCCATCCTGTGATTTGCTTTTAGATTTTGGAATATATTTCATTGTGTACATTCCATTTTTATTATTAATGTAATAACATTTACTACTATTACTATTATCATCAATTCAATCACATGAACTGTATCCCTGATGATGACCATGATTTCTTTAATAATCACAAAATACTCTTTCCTTTATCACGGGGTAAATAACCTATCACACGCTGTAAGTCTCCATCCGCACTCCAGGCTGTCCCTGCTAAGTTACCAGATTTGCTACTTTAACCAGATCAATCATCATTTTAATGTCACACCCACATTCAATAAAGGGTGAGTCTGCACTTTTAACCTATAAGTGAAAAGATGAAAATTTTACTTTAAAAAGACTCTGGAGAAACTTTAACCATCAATATCTCATTTTCGTTTTAATTGCATCTGCTAAACACCATATATGTTTACAGGAGTGTATCAGAAGTTCATTTTTATAGGCAAAAACTAGTAACATAAAATAAGTTCCATCCTGTTTTTCTTGCTGTGTTCCAAATTGAAATAATATCAAGTCTACCCAGGTCAATAAAAGTGCTCAGAGAAAATCCTGACTGGACAGACTTTGTGATAGCCATGATCCTGCTGTTCAGCTGCAGGCCAATGTCTTCGTCTCTAACAAAACTTCCTGTATTCCTACTATAGCCAAAAATATCCTCAAACATGATACAATGGAATATTCATAACAATAATTATTTCTAAATTAACGTAAAAAGAAAACAGTCAAAAAAATATGGGTTGGGCACAATGGCTCATCCCTGTAGTCCCAGCAACTTGAGAGGCCAATGCAGGCGGATCCCTTGAGCCCAGGAGTTTTGAGACCAGCCTGGGACACATGGGGAAACCCCAACTCTACAGGGTGGCAGGGAAAGGAAGAAAAATTAGCCAGGCATGGTGACATACACTACTTAGGGGGCAGGACTGCCTGAGCCTAGGAGGTTGAGGCTGCAGTGGGCTGTAATCACACCACTGCACTCCAGCCTGTGCCACAGAGTAGGACTCTGTCTCAAAAAAAGGAAAAGAAAATATGGATGCTCCAAAGATAAAGAAAAGCCCCAATCCAACTATATTATTGCAATAACAAGAGATTTCAGATTGTACATTGCCATTCTACCACTGGAAGCTTGTTTCATTTTCCCTCAAATTTGGAAAGGTCACAATCTCCCAACACAAATTCTCATAGGAAAAAGAGAAAACTCTCACTTCCACCAGAATGTGGCTTCATCAGGGCAAGCGTGGCACATAGGAGGTGCATTCTACATATTAAATGATGTCTTCACGGTGAGCAGGCCTGCTAGGCCCTTCCAAGGAACATACTTGGCAAAGCCATAGGGCAGTTAGGATAAGATATTTATCACATCCTTATCTCTGGGAACTTACACATTTTGAAGCCATACCCAACTAAGTAAAAGCATTAAGAGAGGTAGCATGATATGACAATATTTAACATATCCCCCTCAAGAAAACAACAAATACATGCATTTCCCTCAGATGACAACAGCCACGCCAACTGTGTCTATGGCAGCACCTCCTACCTGACACGACTGTCACAGGGCCTCAGATCTCGGTCAACTTCTGCTTGGTGAACTTCTGATGAGGCACTGTATCAAAGTGGTCTTTCCAACTTTTAGAGGCCCCATCACCATTACCACTATTGATGGGGACTCTAGTGGAGTTCGATCAACCACTGGAATATGATGCTTCTTTGTCTTCAAATCCTGAGTCCTATTCATGGAAAAAAAAAAAAAAAAGTAAACTTACTTTCAAAATAGAATAAAAAATATCAACAACATAAGTAGACTTTTTATAGTATACTTATAAAGAGTACTTTAATATATTAATTAGAGAGTACAACAGACATTATATAAATATGCTAACTTGTCAATTATTGGCTTGATAACTTCCGGTCCCCATCTAAATAACTGCTGTTCAATAAGATGTAACAAGATGACTTCAACAGTATAGAGAATTGAAAATTAAACACTCCTTAAATCTGACTGTTTTATAAGTGACTTTAATAGTTTTTTAAAAAAACGAAAAGGTAACTACCAAGGCAGTGCATCATAACGGACAAGAGCAGAAGGTGTAGAGTATATGTGACTCTCCTACTTACTGGTTATATGATTGGAGGTAACTTGTTTTCTTGACCTCAGTTTTCTTATGCATAAAATGAGGGCAAGAATGATTCCTACTCTGGTAAGGCTGCTGGAAGCATTTAGCTGAAAAATGTTTAAAGTATACTGTGAGGCATATCACAAGGACTCACTAAATAAAGTTATGGTAGTATTAAATATTGTAATTTTTATACTTTATGTTACAACTATGTAAAACATATCTAGCGGGAAAAAACACACATCACCATAGAAACAGTTTAAAGCTTAGGAATAAACAGATTCTATGAATTCTTTTATCTTGAGCAAGAAACACCAACCAGTGTGCAGATGCTGAAGGCAAGGCAGCTTCTATGCGGAAGGTTTCCCATGTTTTAGTGAAAGCCACACAGCATGCATCTCTATGTCCTTTGGAGCTGGACTAGAGTCGTGAATCAAAACGTCACCTGTGAGAGGCTCCTTCTATTTAAAAAGAATCAGTGCAAGAACCACCAGACTGCAGCTAAACATACCAGTGAAAGGATCAAGCCATCTGCACAGTAGACTGAACTGCAAAAGCTCTGGGATTTCTCTTCCGGGCATCTTCCTCGTCTCCTAGTTGGAGATCCTGCAGATGCCACTTCTTTTTCTTTTCAGCTTTGGGCCCACTGTTTTTCTTTCTGTGTTTCTTCTGGTCCTTAGCCTCCATAGTGGCTACTTACCAATAACAAGTAACTCTAACCTGAAAGGAAGAAGGTTGAAGTAAGGACTGGGAAAAGCATTTTACAATCCAGGCAATACCCAGGGAAAAGCTGTAAATTTCATTTATTTATTTATGAAGAGATAATGTATTTGTTCACTGAACAAGGGTACAAACTGCTTAACCATCCCCAATTTCATTTCTCTCTGTCATACTATAAATTAGATGAGTTACCTCTGCTAAGGTTACATTTTATGGTTAAGTTACTTTTTATTCATCTTAAGGGTCAACATCAGCACTATCTATTTCTGCAAGGATGGAAATATTCAACATCTGTACCTTTCAGCCATTTAGCCATTCGCCACAGGTGGTCACTTAAAATGTACTCAGGGCAAATAAAAAAATGAATTTATTTATTTATTTATTT